GGACCTCTGCAGCCTGCTTAGAGCCGCGGCTGCTGGGGGGACTGGCTGGTCTGCTGCTGGGGAAGTTGGAAGTTGCCTTCTGCTCTGCCCCTCCCTGATGAGCCACAGCCTTCATCCACCACAGCTGGTGAGCTTACCTCTGCCCGGTGCATCCCCCTGTGACTGCTGCTTCAGCTAAAATAAAGGGGGAATACTTTTTTAAACCGCAAAGTCCTTAGCCTCTGGCAAATGATTAAGTTCAGTCTGGAAGCCTGCGTCTTGTGAAGGCATTTGTGCACCCGCAGTTTGGTTGAGGAGCAGAGGCAGCAGGGTCGTCGGTCTCTGCTCTTCACCCAGAAAGTCCCCTGAACGCGAGGGCTTTGCCTGGTAACTTCACCAAGGGATCGGTGTCGGCCTCTCCACCCTGGGCTTGGCGGGGATGTTGTTGGTCCCTTGCGGGTTCTGCAGCCCGCACGCGCGAGCCCCGCTCGGAGCTCTCCTGGCATGGCTGCTGCCACCAGAGAAAGAAAGAAAGAAAGAGTTGCTTTAATTTCACTTTCCATTACAAATGCAGAAATAATTTTGTCTGCTGAAAGGTCACTTATTTTTAAAGGGACTCTGACTCAGAAATGACTTTTCAGAAATACTCCTTGTAGCAAGTAGCATCTCCTAAAAGATCAAAGCTGGTGTATTTTAAATTGCAACTTCAGTTTGTGCTACTTGGTTTTTCTGCTTGGCTAGCTTGCTGGTTGGGAACGTATTGGCCGGTTTCATTGCCTCGGCTGCCGTGCCGCAGCCTTCTGGTGGTGGCCAGGGTCACGGGAGGCAGACGAGGGGCAAAGAAAGGTGCAGTGGAAGTAAAGACATCAGGGATGCTTTTCCTCTTGCTCCTCTGGTTGTATAGGTTGCTTCTACCATCTCATTAATCCCTTAAATCCAATTGGAATTTGATGTTCTGTGGGCTTATGGAGAATTTAGCAGGGGGAAGGGGGGGAAGCGGAAGTTACGCTGGAGGTTTTGCCTGGGAAGTTGGACTGAAGGCAATGTCTTATCGCGAGATTAATCCCTGCCAGAACAGTACTCTTGCTTCAGCATGATTCTGAAATCTTATCTTTCTAGCAACAGGGAAAATGCAAGACAGCTGATCCGTTCTTATATTTGTTAGATGAACAGTGTTAATGCCAGAAGTGCACCACCCGGTTGGACCTTTGTGCATAGTGGTGGCAAAAAGTATTAGCACACAGTGGACATCTGCTGTGAAATTAGGGAGATCTCAAAGCACAGCGAGTCCGGAGGTGTGAGCGCCCTCCGACCCTGCAAGGTGGTTCACTCGTTGCTCAGCGTGGCCGTCGCTGCTCCACGGAACGGCGTTCCACCTATGTAGCACATTTGCATGAAAACAAAGGCCTTTGGGGAATTGGTCATCATGAGTTTGCACAGAAGTGTGGAGCCTTTTTCTATATTGGACAAGAAAATTCCTCAAGCTAAAAACCAGCTGTGTGGCTCCTGCAAAAGTCACAGGTGATGGTGATGGTCTGCCAGACTCCCACTGTGTTTGCAGTAAGGCAGGAGAGGTGTGTTTAATGTAAGTTCGCAGGTCTGGGTGGATTCCAGGTGTGGTGATATTTGAGAACTCTGTTTCCCAGTAAAAACCTCTCTTTTATAAAGAGGCAGCAGGCATTTCGCAGGCTGACGTCTGTTGACTGATCTCTTAGCTACCTTTGGTCTTAGAAGAGGTTTGTTTGTTTTTTTTTTTCTTCTTTCCTTTCATAAACTGTAAATGTGCATTTCTTTTCCACCCTAGGACATGGTGCAGGGTGAAGAGCACAGATAAAGAACCTTCCACCACTCCATAGCCTGTTCCACCTGCCCCGAGGACTTCATGCGGCAGGACGCAGGCTGATGCCCTCAGCACACCCTGCCATGGACGGGGGGAAGAACTATCCGCAGCACGAGCACCAGCAGTCAGGCAATACGCTCTTCAGCATCCCCGGGCTCCGCTCCCAGCTCGCCGTGCCGGCCATGGAGGTGAGAGCCCCGGCGGCTTCTCGGGGAGGGGTGGAGAGAGGGTGTCACCAGAAGGGCTCTGCGCAGAGCGCTCCAGCCTGTCAGATCCTGGGAGTCCTTGTGCATGTTTACAGGAGCTATTTATCAGGCTTTCTGGGCAGCTGTCCAGGGGCATGAAGTATTGATTGGGAATGCTGGAGGGCTGAGGTGATGGCTGTCTGCTGCCTTTGAAGTGGGAGGAGGAAAACAAGGCTGTGATTAAAACAGTGCCTCTAAAAGCTGGTAGGTGCCAAGCTCCTCGGGAAGGGACTTAGAAGTGTTCACACAGAATTGCAAACTGTGTTTCTACCCCAGCTTGTCTCTCTGACACTCGCCAAATCTCTTGCGGGGTCCAGCTGTGCCTTTTTTGAGAGCGGCAGAGATGAATAGGGTTGTACTTCTCCCGATACGGCTGCTAAAACAAGACTGGGTCCCTGATGCATTTGTTCTCAACAGGGCAAAAAGCAAACCTCTGTCCCAAAATAGCTTACACGTTCCTGCAGTTTTCTGTTTGTAACTCTTGTTTGAGTTTTGTCACATATGGGAATACAGAGGTTAAAAAAAGGGGCCCATTTCACCACGTGCATGTTGCTTCAAGCACGAGGTATCATTGCTTTGGACACACAACAGGGCAGATGAAAGACTGATGTGTAGCTGAGTAATGAGGTATTCTTCCCATGACTGTATTGGTACGTGCCCAGCTAAAAGCTTCCCGTTAATTTTGGGGACTGTTTAGGGAGGTGGGAAGACAAAAAGAAAATAACGATGGTTTTGGGTGTTTACTGATGCGAGGGAATTTGAAGGTAATGGGTTGGTGCTTGCTTTCTGCAGAGCCTGAGGCTCAAGGGCTAGGAAAGGGGACTGACCCTATCGTCCTTCTGGGGACAGTAATAGGAAAGTAGGTTCAAAAGCTCAAACGGGAGCGTAGCACTCGATTTCCCCTACTCCCAGAGACTGAGCCACCTCTGCTCGTGGAGGGCGCTGAGGGAGAGCAGCCGTAAGCCTGGCCTCAGATCTGCGACTGCAGGTACTCGTGCCAGTCCTCTGCAGCTGTAACTGTTCTGGTTTCTCCTTTCAGAATTCCATGCTGGCTGCCGACTCGTGGAGTAGCTGCTACCCTGCCTCTTTCCCAACCTCATCTTACCCAAGTGAAAACCAGTGAGTGCTGTTCTCCTTTGTATAATTCCCCTCTGCTCTTGCACACCCCGTGATTCAGCTGTTTCTTTGCTTCTTTCCTTGTTTACTTTATTTCACTAACTGATGGGGAAAGAATTGCATCATGTACCGATCTTGTGGCGTTTCATAAACTGCTACATCTTGGAAAAAGCAGCAAACAGCTTTTTTTTTTTTTTTTTTTTTAAAAAAAAAAAACAAAAAAACCCACTTTGATTTCTGGTAAACCTGGGGGCTGCTATAAGGAAGGAACAGCCTTGGTTTAGCCTGGGTTTGTTACACTCATGGAGTTCTTAAAAATGCCCCATCAGCACAATCTAGCTGAGCAAGTAAGTCCTGCAGTCTCTGGCTTTATACCGGTGGTGCAGATGAGGAAGGAGGGATCACCGGTACCAGGTGGCAGACTTACAGGTGAAGTGAAAATCTTTTGCTGTGTGGGTGCCTGGTAGCTGACTGAACACCACCCTCATGTCTGTACTGAAAAAACATGCCGAGCCCTTTTTTTTTAGGAGTCGTGACTTTTTCCTCTGGTTCTAACTGATGTTTTTCACGGATAACCTCATCGCACAGGGTGTGAGGTGATGAGTATGGCCTCGTGTGAGAAGCTGTGACTGGCTTCTAAGTAAAGCTACCCAGTTCAGTGCTGTAAGGTGGAGTTGTGGTGGGTTTCAGTAACCTTTGCGTAGTAACAGCGGCCCTGTCTGATGGGAAGGACATCGGCCATCAGCTTTCTAGATTCAGTGCTAAAACTTTTCCAGATTACATGCCCAAAATAGCATTTTTGAAGGACCTTTAATAAACATTGTTCTTCCTTCTTCCCCTTTATGAACCTCCATCCTGGATCAGAAGGCAGGATATGACAGGAGATGTTTGGGACAACATAAAGTGGCCTTGTGCCACCTCGGAGTGACTTGGATTGAACTCTGTTGGGACTGGGAGATGCAGATTGTTGTGAAGAAGGTTTAAAAGGCCGATCGATGGCTGCTTTGGTCTCTCTCTGAATACAGGGAGTGGCACAGATCTACAGGATGTGTTTTTGTTTAGGTCAGAGGTGGGAGGAAGGAAAAATAAAAGAAAAGGAACTTGACATTGTGAGCTAATAACTGTGTTCCAGGTGCTTGAGGATTTAGTTTAACCTGCTTCCTAAAGGGATTTTAGCATCTTTGTGGAAGAGCAGAGAGATCCGTCCTCTGGCATGTCTGAGTTCCAGCCTGGCTGTCAGCAGTGAGAATCGGCTCCCCTGGTCAGAGGGATGAGACGTCTTTTGTCTCTGTGTTAGTCCTCCTTGCTTCTCATGTGCCTGGTCCACCTCAGTCTGCAGGGTGAGCCAGCCAGCAGCCAGAGGGTGGATGGAACAGGGCAGTTCTTGACATAAGGTTACCAAGAAGCTGTCCCACAGGTGCCCAATGGAGCTCTGCCTTGCTTGGTTACTCCCTGAAGTGAGAATTTGAGAGGAGTTATCGGATAAGTTCAGTATCTCTGCTCTTAGCTGGCCTGTCTCTGATTGGAAGAGGGTGGACTTTTTGAGTGCGATTCCTGTAAATTACACTTTGTGAATCCTCCAGAGGGCTATAACAGAATTTCTGTTTGGCTGTATTGAACCACAAGATTAGATTGGGTTTAGCTATTGTATTGGGGTTTTTTTTTCTTTGACCATTTTGTTCTGGTTTTGCCCCTTGCTTTCTTCCTGTTCAGTGCTGCTCTGCTGCTCGTGTCAGTTCTGCTGGAAATCTCGCAGCCTTGATCCTGCAAAGACATGCCTGCATTTAACACAAACGGAAACGTGTGGACTTTGCTGCAGTTGCTTTGGAAATGAGGCTCATGGTAGCAATTGCTTGCTCAAGAATGATTTAGCCAAGGCTGCACCTTTTAGCTTCCTGGTTTTTTATATCCTGGTAATTGTAAAAATTACCCTTCGGGTGGAATTTTCTGTATCTCTGTATTTGAAAACTGCAGCTGAATCTTTTCTTTTTTTTTTAGGTGGATTTAGGGTTAGGGCGCTACAGGTAGGAATCCTGAACGGGACGGAAACATTTCAAAATGGGATTGTAAAGGGGAGTTGTAATTATAGCCTGTGTTGTAAAACAGAAAAACGCAGATGGCATTAGAGTTAGTAAAAGTTTCTCTTCAAAATCCTTGCAGAAGAAAACTCATTTGCAAGAGGCTGTGTTTGGACACGGCTTACTCTCACAGAACAGCTTTGTCCCGAAGCAGGTTTTTCCTGTTTCTTCTTTGTAGTTAACTTTCATCTTAGAGAATTTATTTAAAAGATACCAAAGCTTGCCTCTTTGTTTCAGATTTTCTTAATCTGAAAAATGTAAACAGTGGATTAAACCTTGCAGAAAGAACAAATGAGGTTCGGGTCCCCTCTAGGGAAGAGCTGCAGCCTGGTTCGTTTCTAAGGCAGCTGCCCCTGAAGAGCTGGGCTGCCCTTGCAGCTGCAGGCTCAACACATTCCTTGCGTCGGGGAAATCTGGGTCAGTCCAGTTGTGCTGTTGGAAGTGGTGTCACACATCTGCAAAAAACTATTTCTCAAAACCTGGAGCAAAGCTTTCTTCCCCAGTTTCCAAAACATACAACACCCTCTTTTCCTGCTCTTTTCTACTTTGCCACCTGCGTGTGGGATATTGCTTACTAGAATAGTCAAGTAGGGACATGGTTTAGTGGTGGGATGGCAGGGTTAGGTTAAAGGTTGGACTTGATGCTCTTAAAGGTCTTTTCCAACCAAAGCGATTCTATGATTCTATGATTCTAAGTAGGCTTTGAAAAACATTAACTGGTCTAATGATGGGGGAGAAGGGTGCCGAGGCAGCCTGTGACCTCCCCAGCTCATCTCTCATCTTCCGCTGGCCTGAGATGTGGAGTTTGTGTCTCTGAGTGGAGGGCTGTAACATCAGAGCATAAAGTCCAGCCCAAATACACATAGGAGGCCTCCAGTGAAATTGCAGCATGGCCCTAGATGGGCTTCAGTACATCGGACGCGTTGATGAGCAGCTGGTATGCAGCACACAAGGCAGGCGCGGTGTCACTGTAGCCTAAACAAGCGTTATAGCAAGCTTAAGGCGTCAAAGTACGGAGACCCATCTCCTGGGAGGGATGTGCATTGCGTTGCTCACCTCCGAGGTGTGGATTCCTGTAAAAGCCTGTCCACAGCGTGTTTCCTCTAGGTCCTGCTGTTGAAAGTCCTGAGCTTCAGGAGAACTGAAGGAAATTATCAAATTCTTTAACACAAACAAGCAAAAACCCACAAAAAAAACCCCAAACAAACAAAAATCCTGAAAAAACCCAACCCAGCCCAAAACCAAACCAAAGCAACCCAACAAAAAAACCCACGCAACAACATTATCTTGGAGCATGTGAGATAGCCCTGCCCCGAGACCTACTGGCTGGCCTGACATCAAATGGTGTGGGTGAGCTGGATGTCAGCTCAGGTTTGCCTGGTACCAAACTGTTCCACTGCTGCTGTGTTTAGAGTGGGTGGCAGCAAAAAAAGCAGTCTCGCTCTTTAAAGCAATTGTCTGAACTTGAGATAATCCAAAGTGCTTCCCACCCAGCTCATAACGTCCCAGGACACGAGGGTGAAAGAATTCCTCTGGGCCAACTGCTTTGTGCCTTCAGGAAGGGTAGGAACCACCTCTGCAGTAAGACTGTTGGTGCTTGTTGGGTTCTGAACTCTGCACACCTTCATGTTTTCCTACAGGAAGATGTCCCTCTAGTTAGATTTCTAAATATTCTTTTTCATAACAGCTGAATTTTTGGGTTTGGCTTTGCTGGCTCGTTTTGCCTGTGGGGCAGGGAGCAGACGCTTACTTTTCTTAGCTGGTACCTGTGAAGGACATGTACTGGGTCAGCACACGTAACCTCCTTTTCACACAACAAAATACTGATTTCTTCAAACTGAGCTCTTCAGCCGGATTCCCTCTCTGGTGAAACGGAGTTCAAACAGAAGTGGGAGACCCGCGTTCCTTCCCTTCTGGCTGTGTGGTTTCACTGGGGTGACTACCTTCCCGCAAAGCAAAGTGGTGGTGACGCTGGCTGAGTCGCAGAGGAGCATTCCTCTTCCAAGGGGCTGGTTGGAGCTGCTTCTGCCTGAAGAGCACAGCGCTTCTCCGGACTAAACTCCACTTTAGTGCAGAATAATTTCTCTAAGAACTTAATGACTAAATGCGTTTAGTCATTTGGGTTAAAAAGGTCTGGTTTTAATCATCAAGAAGATCAGCACTTGGTTTTCTGCAGCCGAAAGAAGTAAAATAAGATGACTTCAAACTCTCTAACGTTAACTCATTAAACTGATCTTGGTGCTGAAGAGATAAGTTTCACTGACTAAATGATAAACAGATGTATTTAATTATTATCAGGTTAGTAATTGATGCGGGACCTCAATTGCTTTGAGAGCCACCCTCAGTGGTTGAAGTGAATCAGTGGCCTGCAAGGGACTGGTGTAGCACTTGCGCGCAGCCGTTGGATGGGCCTCAGTTGTGTGCGTCCCTGGCTGTCTTCTGTGCTCAACCCGAGAGGCTTTGGCTCTGGGATGGGCCAGGTTAGTCGGAGCCTGGCTCCTCATGGGTGAGTTGAGCATCTCCACGACAGGACATGGACCTGCAGCGTTGGAGTTGATGAATGCAGGTGGTGGTTTCTGTTGTCCAGGGTGCCCGGTTCCTCCTTCAGCGCTGCAGCTCGAAGTCAGATCCAAGGATGTGAGTGCAAATGGGCAGTCTCCTGTAAATCCAGTGTGATTAAACCCAGTATAAATTTCCTTTCTAAAACAACTTTTAGTTATCCAGTGAACGCCCTCAGCCTCTGAGGGAAGCTCCTGACCCAGAGTAGCTTCCACGGAGCAGCTTACCAGTGACTAAGTCCTGGAGAGGGTGAGCAGGTACGTACAGGGCAATCTCGCTATGAGGCTGTTTTCACATCTTTCCTTTGGCAGTAGCGCAGGGTTCGCGTACGTGATTCTTCCAGTTAACGCTTTTGGTTTTGCAGTTTAATTCAAGCGAACTTGTCCGTGGCTTTATGCCAGCTCTTCAAACGAGGGTGAATATCTTTAAGTTCTTTTTGAAAGAAAGGTAAAACACAGCACCAAAGGTCCTAAAAGGACTTTGGCGAGCGCTGCGTCCTTGGTGGCTTTCCGAGGAGGATCTCAAAGCAGCACGCTGAGTTGCTGTTGGCTCTTACTTCAGACTGCAAGAAGAAAGCGCATCTCACACTCACAGATTTGAAAACCATGATTAAGGGAAGCAAAATAACATACCAAAGCTGGCCATTCCACCGCAGTTCAGGCCAGGGAGCTTGGGGCTGTCTTGGTCTCCTTCCCGTTACCTTAACTGACTCTTGCCCAGACCCACGAGGTGCTGGTGAAATAGGAGGCGGTGTTCACTTTTCCGGTAAAAATAGTTTTCCCCTTCCCTGGTTAGTTCGTTAGTGCTGGCCGGGCTCCGTCCTCATGCAAGAGAGACGGTGAGACCGTGGCGGTTTCAACTTGAAAGCAATTGAAGCAAGCCTTTCCCTGTGTGTAAACACATTAATTCCCGGAATTTATGCACAGATTTTAATTTGCCTGTATAGATGAGGAGGAGCTGAGAGCCAGTGCAGGGCTGTCAGAGCTGTTACGTGCAGGTGTGCTAAATCCACCCCTCCGTGGGGTTGGGTCGCTGTTCCCGTGTATCCCTGCAGCAGGTAAAACAGCGGCAGCACCGAAAAGAAGGGAGAAAGGAAAAGAGGGGGAGGGAGCTGTTCCTTTCTGAGTGTGTTATCTTTAGTGATGAAAAAAGAGCAGGAAAAATGCATTTAGCAGAGGGAGATAACTGTGTTTGCACATAAATACATATGTAAATGTTAAGCAGGGCGTATTAATGAGCTGCTAGCCACACATGGCATTTTAATTGCTTAATAATACTCTGGCAGTGCAGTTGTTCCCCAGCTCTGCTCCTGGGTAGGATTTAGTTTCAAATTTTGTTTCTCCCTCCCCCCCAGTGCCTCGTTAAAGTTTATTGCTGCGGGTTCTGTAACCCTGGCATTACGAAGAACGTACAGCTCACCACAAGAGGAAACCAGTCAGATCGGGTGAAGCATTTTAGTGGCTCCAGCATGCAAACGTGTTGGGTGGCGATTGCCCAAGCAGCGTGAGTGCACAGCCCTTACGGGAAAGATTACAAAGCACATTCCTTGCTCCTGCAGGAGAGGGAAAGGGCTTGCCTGTGTAATAGCAAAACTAGAAGACTGGTCCTGTAATGCAGGCCAGAGGCTACTCCTGGGAAGGAGGAAGGGAATTGGCTGATCTTTTGCAGTTCTTGCCACCTCTCTGCTCGGAGGAAGCCGGTGCTGGGCGGAGGGCGGCAGGAGGAAGCGCTGGCATGTGCCCTACGAGATCTTGCTTTGTAGTTGGGTGTGATCGGTTACATCCACGATTCATCTCTGGGCGAACAGTTCCCTCCAGGGGTGCGTGTCCCTAACCCCTCCGTTTTTATCTGTCTTTAGGTTAGGAGATGTGGCCAGTAAAGCTCCCCGTCGAAGGTGTGCGAGGAGGAGGGCGGTTTCTTTCCCTGTCTGTGCTAGCTGGCAGGGCTGCTTCAGTTTTAGGGCCCAAACTAGCATTCGGGTGTGATGTTTCCATGAAACTTGATGCTTGTCCTTATGCAATGTGATTGCCAGGTTCCACCGCGCTTGTCCAACACTTGGTGCTGGGACATCTCGCAGGCTTAATCTTGCTTTGTTGTCAGGACTGAAATATTATTTAGTCCTGCAGAACTTCTTTATCCATGAAGTCCTTCCCAGTTTACACAAATCGCCAAGCACTGAATTCTTAATGCAGCTTTCCAGACTCTCACCCTGCTGAGCCTGGGAAGCGGGATGTAACGTGTGGATGTATTACTTTGCTTCGCTGTCTCTTCTGGATAAACGTAGCTTTGTTAAATACCAATCTCCCATATGTGTCATCCCATAGTTGCAATTTCGCCTCTGATGATGGAGTCTGAAGCAACCTGAGAAATACTCAGGACTGACAGGAAATAACTGCTTTTCCCATTTCCTTACAGGCAATATTTTAATTCCCCTCACGATTTTTATATGAATTCCATCAGCAGACCACATTTCTTGGATACAAACTATGCATCTGTGGACCCCACTGACTTCTTACCAAAAAATGGTGATTTTCCTCAGGTAAGTACATAGCTACTGGTGGCTTTGGGGGAGAATGGCACTTTGTGGTGATGGGTTTTGTTTTTCAGTATTGCCTTATTGAGGGGAAAGGAAGAGATGGGCGATACCTTAAAGGAATTGTGTGCAGTTGGGATAGATTCTCTGACGACAGCCATTCAGGAGCTGTCCGTTCACTGAGTAGGAGCTTATCTGTGGTAAAATTGCTTCTGTCTTTTAAAGTGATGTTTAGCACGAACACTGAAAGTGGATGGGAGCATCCTGTTTGCAGGAGGTTATAGGTAAGTGCTTCAGACGGTTCCATCATTTGCCTCCTGAAACACCCTTGGCTCGCCCGCGTTGCGTGTGCTTTCTCCCTGATTACAAGTGGTGGATTCCTGACTAGTGAGTACCTAGGGGTTACATCAGCTCAGTGCCTGGCAAACCGAGACTGGAGCCAGTTTGGGTTTTGCAGAGCTGGAGTGTGGGAGGAATGAATAGTTACGGTGCTTCACTCGGCATCTCTAGGGACCAAGAGGCATCCCCACCCCAGGGATCTCTCTGGGTGGGAAGTAGCTCTTCCTGTGGTGGTTTTGAAATGTTGCACTGGCTTTTGGCAACACCTCATGATAAAGATTGGTCAGTAAAGACTGGAAAGCAGCTGATACGGCAGAGCTGGCTTGGAATAAAGAAGGGACCAGCTATATCCTTTCTAGGGGTTGATAGAGATATTATCAGTGTCTGGCTGTGTGTGTTCTTTGCATCAGAGTTTCCCCCAGCATCTGGAGAGACACACAGTGAGTAAAACTGCAGAATGTTACCCTGCCTTGACCTATCAAGGCAACAGCCATGCTGAAGGAACTCCCTAGTCTCAGTCAGTCACCGTCTGGTTATTGGGGAAGCGTGCAGGTGCCAGATGCAGTCCGGCATCCTGCCGCAGGTAGGCAAAGGGCACAGCCCGCCGTGCCTCAAAGCCCTGCAGGAAGCAGCCAAGGAGAAGGGGTGCAGTTACAGAGCAGCCCTTGACTTCCAGCCCCGGCCTTGTGTCCTGGACCGTTGTTTGAGTGTGACTCTCCCATCAGACAAGAAACACGAGAAGGAGCAGGGCTGTGGCACTGCTCTGGGGTGGGCACGTGCTTCAAGCCGTGTGTGGAACAGCTTTTTTGGTTAGACAATGCTGCAGGGAGCTTAGGTGAGAAATTAGTGATTGATAATTTATTTTTTTTTTAGTATGCTTAAGGTCTTCTAATGAGACCTGACTGATGGGTAGGCTGGGGGCTCATCAGTTGCTGGCAGATTGGACCTTCAAGCCTCAGGGGTGCTTGGAGGGTCTCAAAGGAACCTTTCAGGTGTGCAAAATCCTGGGCTCACTTCAAAATCTTCACCTGTGTTATCTGCAAGTTAAACTTGTTTCACTAACAGTATTGTTTTTTCTGGTAACAAAGCCACTTACCAGCAGAGCCAGGCTTCCTCTGAGTGTGGGAACCAGCTAATCTGAACATCGCTGTTGCCTGCCTCAGGTCTGTGGCTCGGTGCGACAGATAAGCACAGGGGCACTGCTTGGGTGTTGTGTCAGATGGAGCAGAGTTGCTTTCCCCTCTTCCATGCTCAGGTGAGGCTTGACCTTTCTAGATGTCTCGCTGTTCGTTCTAAGCATGCCTTACAGTGTCACCCTCAACTGCTGAAAACGGCACCGGGGAGACCCAAGGATGAACTGGGGCAGCACGGACGTGCCTCATGCTAGCATTGTGCTTTGACACACCGAGAAATATTTCAGCGGGCCCCATTAAGCTGCTGTGGGCTTTTGAATGTATTCTATTTTCAGTAACTGCTGGATGTCAAGACACGTGTATAAACAGAAACTTTTTCCTTCGCAATGTCTCTTCTTCCTGCATGATTCATTAATTGATGCATCAGCAAATTGATGCATTTCCCTGCTTCTTGAGGGGAATGGGTTAATGCCACCTAATTGTACTTTTATTTTCTTGGCATGGCTAAAGGGAGGTTTTGAACCTCCTTGGGGCTCTGATTTCTGCAGGTTTGGACTGACATATGCTGGGGATTTGTGTCATTTGAGGTGAGCCGCTGGTGTGGTGCCCAAATTCAGCTCCTTGAGCAAAGCTGCTGGGGGTGCTTTGCGTTAGTGCCTCGCCTGACACAGCGGATCAGGTCAGTCACCAGTAGCCGCTGACCAGAGCCTTCTAACTGGATAAAATCAGATAAGTAAATGAATCGTAATAGCATTGATCTTTGCCTCCTGCAGAATTAATTGCGGGAGAAATGAGGCAGGAATGTGATCTCATCAACTTGTGGAAGTCATTTAACAGGCTGCGATGGGAAGAGGGAGAGGGGTCCTCTCTATAGGTCTCAGCTTGCAGGTCTGCTGTAGTTTGGCTGATGGGTTTAACGGGAAAAGGGCTTAATTATTTCTTTAACTTATGTATTTTCTAGTATCTAAGCGGTCGATCAGCTTCCTTCCCCTGCTGCATCACGGAAATTGATCTTGGCCAGCTGGGTAGAGCGAATTTTTGGAGATTCTTTGTGAAAAGGAGATGCTGCTTTGTGCTGACTAGGTGATAAAAGAGCAGGAGGGCTCGGAGATAAACCAGGCATGAATGACCTCAAATGATTTCCAGGACAAGAAATAATTCTTGTGCCACACTTGTCCTTTTGGATGGGAAGTGAGAGCTGGGAGGCGAGGTGGCTGTAGGCAGTTACGCTGTGGCTTGGACCCCTGCTTTCCAAGGCAACTGTTGTGAGGCTGCACCTATTAGGACGTGCTTGCAAGTGTTCTGCTTCAGGTACAGAAACAATGACGCGTCCGTCTCTGAATCTAACACGGCCAGGGCAGTTCTTTTACTCAGGTATTGTACCACCTAATAGCAGGCCGTGCTATGTACGTTCCCACGAGGAACAGAGCGTTCTTATGGGTGCTTTTCTGTCCTGTTTGGTGGCTGTCTGTAAGTCTGTAATGCTGCTTGGGGCTTTCTGGAGATTCCCACAGATAACCCAAGGCAGCGATGTGTCACCCTGTGCGCTCTGAAACTGAGAAACACTGAATAGGACCTTTTTTAGAGTTTTGTTTTCCAATCTGAAACTGATCTGATCGAGCTCGTGTCTCGGGCATGGTGGCTGTCTAGAGCTGCCACTGGGCGGACAGGCAGGGCTCACCAATGCCCACTGGTGTGAAATAACACCAGTGTTGGTGCTCTGCTGTCCTTGAGAGGCGTTTCGGTCTTTAGTCACCCTCCAGCTCAGACCGCTGCTTCTGCTGGAGCACGGAGCCGGGTCAGCCTTTCTGAGCACTTGGCTCTTGACTTCTTTGAGCTTTCTGCATGATTTGCTCCTAGTGCTCTGACATCTGAGAGTTCAATAAGCACAAACATGGAAATCCATTGATAAAACCTAGGGCTTTCTAAACTACTGGTCGTTGCTCATCCAAAGAAAAGCTGATGATTTGTTTCACAGGGGCCAGAATTAGAGCCTGGATCTGATAGAGCAGCAGGGACTTAACTGGAGGCAGTGGCATCAGCCTGGAGTCATCTGGGAGCGTCCTGGAGCTTTTCCATCCTTTGCTTCAGCAATGTTTTCCACTTTACTGATTTCTTGCTGTCCCAGATGCCAAACTGTTAAATATTAACAGTCTGCCTGGAAAACTGAAACATGCCGTGTGGAAGGTGTGGGAGCAGCTTGGGTGGTTACATCTTTCCAGGTGACTGTATAGGAAAGTACCTATCTTTTCCATACTTGCCTCGTGCGGTGGTAGGAGTGGCAAGTCCCGTCCAACTTTTGTGCTGTTACAGCCATGCCAAACAGAGGAGTGAAGCCAAAGGGAGAACATGAGGAGCTTGCTGCGGGCTTTGGTAAGAGATTCTTGATTAAATCTGTGGTCACTGGGCAGACGAGGTAGATCGGGTGCTTATGTGAGAATGTGTGCTGCCTTCATAGGTGAATGCAGGCTGTTCTCCTGTCTTTGCTCAGACACCAAAATCCTCTCTTGGATCTCTTGTTGAACAGCACAGGAGAGCTCGCTGTCCCCTTGGGTTACAGCCCTTGGGGTATCTCAGCAGCCTGCCAGTGCTTGACGTCTGCAGGCTGGCCGGGGCGCAGAGAAAGGAGGTGGAAGCATCATCTCTGATCCAGAGGGAAGCTCTGTGATCCCTGCGTGGGATCTGACAGCGAGATGGTGAACGCTGCCTCCCCAAAACGTACTTGCAGCCGTTCTGGGCTGCAGTGGGACGCCAGCCTGGCCTCAGACTGCATAGCCTGTAGGCAGTTTGTCTCTGTAAAGTGTTTTCCAGGAATACTGAAAATGGATTTAGAAGGTCTAAAGAGCAAATGACTAAGGATTGTGAGGTATGTGTGGTAAACACTTCGTGCTGGTGGCGATGATCGGGGGATTGTTCGTGTGCCCTGGGGTTTGGGAGCCTCAAGGGTTTGGAGAGTGGGAAGGCTGATGCGTTCTCCTCCAGCGCTGGCATTTGCTCCCCCCGTCTTGTCTCCGTGTTTTGTTTTGGAGGTCCTCAGCTGGACCTTCAGCATGCAGAGCCTGTGCTGCTGGCCTGAGGATGCCATGAGTGGGAGTTGCCACATTTCTTAATTGCTCTGGGAATTTCTTTTTAGTTGAATCATTCACGGCCGCCGCTTGGGTCTGGTGAGGAGCGATTTCTGCGTGTGCTGCAGCAGCCTCGCTGAACGCCTTCTGCATGTTGGAAAAGGTGCTTCATCTGCACGGTCGGAACAGACCAATGTGAACTTGAACTTGTTTCCTCCACAATATTTTTGTTTTCTGGCTTGCTGTTGGGTGATTCATCGTTGCCAGTCTGCTGGCACTAGTTATATAAACAAGTGGCTTAAACTGAGGTTTAGAAAATAGTTATGAGGCCATATTGGGGTCCGATCGCATTCCCTGATCTTGGGAACTGCTGTCTTGAGCCAAAGGCTCGCCCAGGCCCTGTGGTGGTGTCTCCTTATGTAACAGGTCTCCCGACTGCACACATGCCCTGAGAAGTCCAAGTCCTGAA